TATAACACAGACCACGCCCCTTTTAGCTGACCACGCCCCCTGTACCTGTCTGGCCAATAGCAGATGCTCTATAACACAGACCACGCCCCTTTTCCCCTGACCACGCCCCTTTTTGCATGTCTGGCCAATAGCAGGTGCTCTAGAACACAAACCACGCCCCTTTTTTGCTGACCACGCCCCTTTTACCTGTCTGGCCAATAGCAGGTGCTCCCGGGTCTGGGGCATTTGTCCGTCTGTCGCTGCCACGACCAGAATGGCCCCGTCCAGGGGGGCCGTGCCCGTGATCATGTTCTGGGGAAAAAACAGGCAAAATTGGGAAAAATGATAAAAACGGGGAAAAACGACAAAAATCGGGAAAAAATGACCCAAAACCGGGGAAAATCCACCCAAAACCCACCCCAAAATCAGCCCAAATCCCCCCCAGAATGGCCCCGTCCAGGGGGGCCGTGCCCGGGATCATGTTCTGGGGCAAAAACAGGCAAAATTGGGAAAAACAACCAAAATGGGACTTTTTGAAGGTTTTTTTATGGGATTTCTTGGGTTTTTACGGGATTTTTTGGGGGCTCTTTTATGGGATTTTTTGGAGTTTTTATGGGATTTTTTTGGGGGTTTTTTAATGGGATTTTTCGTGGGTTTTTTATGCGATTTTTTGAGGGTTTTTTTAAGGGATTTCTTGGGTTTTTATGGGATTTTTGGGAGGATTTTTTACGGGATTTTTCAGACTTTCAATGGGATTTCTATAGGTTTTTTTGGGGGTCTTTTTCATAGCATTTTTAAAAATTTTTATGGGATTTTCCAGGGCTTTTTTAATGGGATTTTTCAGAGTTTTTAAGGGACTTTTGGGGGGTTTTTTAATGGGATTATTTGGGGGTTTTTTAACGGGATTTTCTGCAGCTTCTATGGCATTTTCTGGGTTTTTTTTAATGGCGTTTATATGGGACTTTTGGGGAGTTTTTATGGGATTTTTTTGGGTTTTTTTATGCGATTTTTTGGGGGTTTTTTATAATTCAGTTTTTTGGTGCTTCTTTATGGGATTTTTTGGGGTTTTTATGGGACTTTTTGAGAGTCTCTTAATGGGATTTTCTGGAGTTTCTATGGAACTTTTTTTGTTGGATTTTTTTTGGGGTTTTATGGTTTTTTTTGTTTTGTTTTTATGGGATTTTTGGGGTCGGGGAGTTCCGGGCTGGTTTTTTATGGGGGTTTTTTTTGGGGTGCAGAGTTTTGGGGTGCCCCCACCTTGACATAATCTGCATGTCCCGGGCAGTCTGTGTGTGCATAGTGCCTGTTTGGGGTCCCTGATTTGGGGTTTTTTATGGGATTTCTTGGGTTTTTAATGGGATTTTTTGTTTTTTCTAACGCAGTTTTTAAAAATTTTTAAGGGATTTTTTGAAAGTTTTTTACAGGGTTTTTCACAGTTTTTACAGAATTTTTGGGGGGGTTTTAAACGGGATTTTTTCGTAGCTTTTATGGGACTTTTTAAGGGTTTTTTATTGGATTTTTTGGGTTTTTTTACTGGATTTTTTGGGGTTTTTTTATGGTGCTTTCATGGAATTTTTCGCAGTTCTTACAGGATTTTTTGAGAGTCTTTTAATGGGGTTTTCCGGAGTTTCTATGGGATTTTTTTATTGGATTTTTGGGGAGGTTTTTATTGCATTTTTTGGATTCTTTTTCGGGTTTTTTATGGGATTTTTGGGGTTTTTGAGCCCCGAGCCCCCCC